TAATATACATTATAATATATTAAATATATACGTTAATATATTATAATGTATATTATAATATATTAACGTATATATTTTATCGTATATATTATAATGTATATTATAATATATTAACGACATAGGTTTAATATCACGTACTGTACGTGATAATTTGTAGGGGAAGCAAGCCAAAAATGACATACTGTAAGCCAAACAAGAAATGCAAAGGTGATTTCAGAAACGATTATTTTATATACTCAAACGAAGAATTGCTGTATTAAATGGGACTTTCCAGAGTGAGCTTTTGTTTAAAGAAATGAGGATAAAAGGTAAAATCTAAATAATCTCAGTATATCCTTTTCTCACAAGTATGCGGGAAAAACGACATATGCCAATATACGTAGGCCAGAAATACATGCAAGTAAAGCTTATAAAGCTTACATACTAAACGACTTAATGATGTAGTGACAGTCGCATCCTCCCCCCATTATTAAGGAAACTACACGATATGTCATTTTACCGAAATACAGTATGCAATTTTGGGCTTATTTTCCTTATATACGTATAAATTACATGTAGTAATAGAGTGTAAATTATATAAGAAGTAATTATATAATTTACACTCTATGATTGACGTAAAATAAACGAAGAAACTATTTTCAGTGCGATTTAATAACTCATGAAATGATATCTGACGTATCCTGTCCCAGTTATGCAGCAGTAATGATGCAGCAGCAGCAGCAGCAGCAACAGCAACAACAACAAAGAATACGTTCTTTTTCACTGTAATATTATTAAGTAACGTTTATTCTGTAAATAGTTTTTCAGAATAAAATTTATTAAACTTTACATAAAATGCATCATTACAATTTTTCACAACAAGCTAATTTGTAATTGATAAATAAAATTTAGAATCAATGTTTAAATACAAGTAACACACTAATGATTGGTTGCGGGAGTTTTAATCTCAAGGATAAAATATAAGTTTTATACCATTCATTTCAGGGCTGTGGAGTTGTGTAAAAATCTATCGACTCCGACCAGGGACAGATTTGTTAACAGAATAGGCCCGGGAATTCTGATGTTATCACGTGACCTCAAAGTAAAAGCTTCAATAAATAGAGTTCTAATAAAGATAGAACGTAGAAACGTTTTTATTCCAAAGCTAAAACATTCCTCTAAGTAATGACATAGTCAATATATAAATATGTATTTGATAACTTTCACTTTATTGGCTGTTATGTATAATATAGGAAAAGTGTAGTGATCGGTCAAAAAGTGACCCCCCCCCAATTTTTACACTTTTGGACTCAGAACACGTTGAAATGTGGAGATGTGACAAAGATTCCGATTCTTTTATTCTATATGTATGGATGTTAGATTGTGTGTATGGCACGATTTTGTTTACCCTGTTAGAAGCTTATTAACTTCAGTGATTTTTGAATCGGAATCGGATGGTTTAACACAGGAGTTATTAAGCTTCAAAGTGGTCATGTTCCCACACAGGTGCATACAGAAAAACCCCGAATGTTTTTGCACTTCTCTACGTTTCAAAGCTTTCCGAGTTCAAAAGAGCAAAAATCTGGGGAAGTCATTTTTTGACTGATCGTCATTTTTTTCTTTTGTTATACTAGTAGACCTATACTGTATAACAGCCGGAAAGTAACAATGACGACGATTTTGATTACCTCAGTTTTCGTTGACTTCGGTTATTATCGGTTTCGGTTTTCGTCGATTTTTTCTGCAAAAAAATTTGTCTCGGTAGTCTATTAGTCGGTTGCCTCGGATTTTGTCGGTGTACCCACGTGACCTCGCTGCTAATTTTGCGAAAACAAAGGGCGACCCACGCGTTTTCCTGCTCAGTGCGGCGTAGTTTCTCGTTGTGTGAGCATTATTACCCCGCGCCTGTAGTCAAACAATTCCATTGCTTTCCTTTCCTTTTTGCTCCATTATAGGACCAAAGAAAATTTCCGAAGCCCTTCGAAGAAGAAGGCCAGGAACACGATCGAATTGAAGACGGAAATCATTGAAAAATACGAGAGCGACATTAAGGTTGCTGAAATCGGCCGCTTTTATATTCATTTTATATTAACTTCTTATTGTTTTTAGTATTAAACACTATATTTATTCTCTATAAAATGTATTTTTGCTATGTATTTTGAGTGTCTAGAACGAATTAATTGGATTTACATTGATTCGTATGAAAATAATTGACTCGGTTTTCGTTGGTTTCGGATTTCGCCGATTGTTTTCGGACGGATTATCGACGAAAACCGTGGTATCACTGTATTTTTTTTAAATACAAAATAAAACGATTTTCAAAAATTAAACATTAAAATTTGACACATTTACTTAATATATAAATTCATATTTATTGACTTGTTTGATGATGACAATGGTATTTGGTAAGCATGTATAAATAAAAACAGTAATACATTAGTACACAAACAAATTAGTTTAATAAAAATGTTGTACATAATACGAGTATAATAGGTAATATATAAGTATGAACATACATTAAACTAAGTCAAAAAATATAACATTTAGACTGGTAAAGAAAGAGATTGCTTATTTTGCTATGTTCATTAATTTATTATTTTCCATCTCTGTTATAAACTGAATTACTTCTTTAAAAAAGAATTGCTTCTATTAAGTCATCATTCATTGAAGTTCTTAAATCACATTTAATAATGTTAAGAGCGGAATATAAACGCTCTACTGAAACTTGGGTTTGTGGCAAGCGATGGTCAATGCTGTATCTTGGATAATGTCTGGATAGAGAAGTATTGCCGTTTTAACATGCAAATTTGAAGAACGGTAAATGTGATTTACTTTTTCCAGTGCATTGTAAAAATCTTTAAAAATTCTGTAAGATTTCCTTTCTTGTCTATGCTCATATTAGAATTTAAGCTTAATTTTGAGGGTAGAGACCAGTTTTATACAAAAAATTGTGAACGCTAATAAAGAATAAAATATTCATTAAGTCCGACCATACTGGAGATATAACACATGAACCCTTCTGTGTCTCCACCCTGTTGACATTTGATTAAGAAACAAAATTTAATAGCATTAATGCCCCTTTATACACAAGCTACCGTGCCAAATTTCGTTTCTTAAACTTTATCCATTCTGAGATATTGTTTAATATCTCAGAACATAGAATAAAGAAATTAATTAAACAAATTAGACGCCAAAACACACACACACACACACACACGAATTTTTCTCCTTTAATTGACATTTTTGGGTTCAGGAGGTCTCCAAACGTGTAGATTTGCAAAAAGTTAGGAGGGTCAAATTTCACATGATTCCAATACTTTCCATTTTTATATACATAACAAGTTGCGAAAGTAAAAATGAGTTGGAGTCGTCAAAAATCAGCGGACTCCAACTCCGACTCCACAACTCTGATTCATTTAGATCAGCGGTCCCCAACCTTTTGATCACCGCGCACCGACCAACGTTTGATAATTTTACTGCGGCCCACTGAGTTGGGGGACGTTGATTGTTTATATTTTAGATTAATTTAATTTAATAATTTTAATTTAATTGTATTTAAAAATGTCTTCAAAGTAATATACAATTACACCAAAAAATGAATATAATGTGATTTAAAATTTTAACTCACTAGAACGCTAAATCAATGAGAACCCTGAGCTTGTTTCTTTGCAACGAGACGGTTCCATCTGGGAATAATAGGAGACAATGACACCCGAAGTGTGTTTCTTATGTCCAGTTTATTCCTTTGTTCCGTCGTCCATTAAAAGTCGCAGAAATCCGAGGAAATACCACAGTAAATAAAATGAAAATAATTTAATGTTCCTTGGGTAGTCCGGTACCATACGGTTGGGGGCCCGATACCCCAATCCCCAGCCCCCAACCGAGGCCCGGGGGTTGGGGACCACTGATTTAGATAATTTGTAATATTGTTTCGAATGGTGTAGAATGTGAACAAAGGAATAATGTAGTATTAAATACATCAGTTATTATATACAATAATTATAAAAGACATAAATGTTTAAGTTATCCTATTATATAAAAATTAAATACCCAAAAGGATATTACGACTCAATACAAATTTATAAACATACTGATTACTTTAAATAATTGGGATATTTACAGTTTGAATCATCTAATCATTTTCTATAAATATACTGTTTACTGACATTTTTATGTAGCTTTATATTTTAAGATATAAATATAGATAAAAATTTTCAGTTTGACGTTACCTTGATTCAAATAATTCAGTACCATACTATTTTTCATTGAGTAATTTTGTTATATATTTGAATAAAATAAAGTTCAGTTTGATTACAGTCAAAATACAGTTCAGTGTGTGATCGAAGAAACTAAACTATTTAAATAGCAACAGAAACTGAAATACATACAGTATATCTGAATAACACCAAAATATCAATACTTAAATTAATTTGATAGGTTGAATACTTTGTCTAGAGAAGAATACAAGCTATCAATCAAATAACTCTACTTCCAGTAATCTATTGGATATAATATAATCAATAATTTTATTTTATTTAAAAACTATTCATTTGTATTAAATTAAGAATTTTAATAATGTTTTTTAGATTCAGACTTTAGGCTATTACTTTTCTAAGCATTAGTATTTTCATTTGTGTTTTATGTACCTGTTCAATTTCGTACTCGCGAAACTCCGAAAAAAAAAGGAATTTTTAACGTATAATTTAAAATTGTTCTTAAAATTGTGTTTAGCTGCTAAACATGTGAAAAATATCAGAAAACCACGTGACCAGCCCGTTAGTCAGTCACGTGAGCTAACAACTACCAGTGTTCAATGGTCTTAGCCACTGGCCACTAGTGGGCCTAATCAAAAATGGAATTAAGTTTAGAATTTAAAATGAAATTTCTAAAAAGTGTAATGTTTTAAAGTTAAATATATTTATATTTAATATGTTGCAAAATATTATATTGCCATCTTAAAATTGTATTTACGAAGACAGTTCTAATACTAATTTTGACAATTAAGCAAATTCAAACAATTATAGAGAAATATATTTTATCATAATTTATTATTATTGTACAAATATAAAAAATATTTATGTTTTATTCCAGCATTACTTTTACACGTCATTCTTTATTGGAAGTTATAAGATGACATTGTAATTTTTGCATTAATAATGACGTTGTAAACATTGTATTTCAAGCTTTATACTGTATTTCTATCGCACCAGCTTGTTAATTATGGCTATTTAGACCAATATAACCCGAACAGTTTTCAGTATTTTTCCACTGAAAGCATTTACACTATAAAAATGTTTTCTTATAATTCATTTCTTATAACGTTTGCATGAATTGTCTTCGAACAAAAACTATAAAAAAAAATAAGTTTTTCAAAAGTTTTTACAAAAATCAGAAAACGATTTACATAACTCTTCTTTTACGCTAAAGAGTAAAAAAATTCGGCAATTCAGAATTATTTAATGAATATAAATTAAGAACTATTTTATATTTCACTAACTGAATGATGGATTACTTTTGATTGGATAATTATCTACTTAAGTATCACGTGAAACTCGAAAGAAGGTTAAATGGAAATCGATCATTGTACAAACGCAACTGGATGGTAAGTTAACTACACTATTCATATCCAATATTTAATATATTTTTAAATAAAATAATTCATAAAAAATTAAAAGCTATTACCATTTTAATTTTTAGTAAAAAGTATGTATTTAATTTTAAATTAGTTACTTACAAAAACAAAAAAATTGTATAAGACTGAATTGAACTCCGAATTATTAACATTAATAACCAAACATATTCATAAACCACTTGCTTAGATTTTTATTACAAAATATAATTTAGATTTG